CATTAAGACATGAAAATTCATTCACTTCAAACTCATCGTGACTTTGTTGAATCGACACGGATGAAGCATTGCATGAATCAAACTTCCAGCTCCGAAGCATCCGATATGGACGTTTTTCAAATTCCACAAGACGAAAGGTCCAGTGAACGGCTACATGTGTGAATTGTGCGGTGGTTATTTTATTGGTGCGGCGAATACGACGAACGCAACAAAACATTTGAAATGCAGACATAAGGAGGAATTTGCTGAGTATATTGAATTGTACGATAGTGCAAAACGAGGCTCATTTGTGGGCGCATTACACGATGTACTTCGAGAGGTCATTTCTTGTTTCATCTATTTCAGTTCATTTGATTTCAGTTGTAATTTTATTGTTCATTTACTTTGAAACGTCATTTTTGCGATCGATAAGTTCTGCGAACTTGATCCTAAGTTTGTCTCATGACACGCTGAAATATACTTCTTCCGTTTATTTGCCGTTTTAATCTGATTATATTTTCTGATCCTGCAAGAAATGTTATAGATAATGTTGAAAGGACGTGCTAAACGTTTGGGCATTTCGAATGCTCTTAGCCTGCAGCCAGCGTTTGCGCTATCCAAAGGTGAATGCAAAGATGTGCAAAAATTTGAAAGTAAGTAACTTTTTGTGATGATTGCACGTGTTGTTTTCGTTGCATTAACCGTTCTCATCGTTGAAAGATGTGATGATATGACGGCTGACAAGTGATTAATGATTCCAGTTTCTCCCAGTTTTACCTTCGAAATCACCAAATTAATTCTTCTTTCGTTTTAAGAATCTCGCTGTGAATGGCAAACATCAGCTCTGAAGTCTCATGCGTCCTCGTCAAAGGATTCATCAAGTGTTCCGTCATCATCAGCTGCGAATGTTACTTTTGAATTAATTCGTTGCGCTTTCGTTGAATTCAAATGAAATTAGTGCTTATGAAGTGGTCCGTTTGTAAATTATATTCTTCAGATACAATCCGAAAGCTGTGGCATTTCAGGGTGGTAGTGACTCGAAAGTGTACGTTCAGCAGCATTCCGCTGTGACCGTTTGTCAGAGTCAAAATGCTGCAGTTCCATTAAGCGACTGCAGTTATGCCGAGCAAGCCATCAAGAAATCGCGGTGAGATTCTGAACTCACTTTTACATTTTTGGTGATGTAATTGAATGGTATTTTAGTATTTGAGTATGTGTTCATGTGAATTCTCTGAAAAGTTCTTTCACGTGACTGTAAAAGTTGTTTCAGATTGAATGAGTCAGCGAATGGGTCGAACGAAAGTCCAAATAAAGTTCTGGCTGATCAAATGGAATCATTCTTGAAAAGTTTCAGACAGTTGGAGGATGAGGTGAGCATTGTTNCACTTAGGTGATATTTGATCTTTTTAACAAACATTACGATTGATTTGTCGTTGGTGTTTTTGGTGGCTCACTGAAGTGTTCAGACTGGTCACCATTTTGATGCGAAAATCTTATGTTCGGGATTAGAAAATTGAAAATCCTCGATTAAATATCTAATGTTTCATCAGTCGTTTCAGTGTCAAGACTTGCGTTGTCAGCTAAGCGCGAAAGATGAGCAAATTACTTCACTGAAACTGCAATTAATTCATGAAAAGAAGAAACGTGAAAGCGCACTGTTTCTGATACAACAGTCATTGATGGATAGTGGATCAACTGACTAGAGTTTTGAGTTTCTATTATATAAACTCATTTTATTCTTTGAAACAACATGGAACCAACAATTTTTTATACATACTGAAGGGTTCATTCATTCTCTGTCATTGTTTTACTGTTCATTGTTCAGTATTTTTATTCTGTTTTCATATCCAGATCTTGTTATCCACTGAGCGTTATGGGCTATGATGTGATGTAATTTTCCAATGATGTTTTAATAAGTGAATGTGATTGTTACTAACAGTATTCGATCATTCCCAACACGTTAACTGCACTGAATCTATTTTTAATATGATGACTATATGTCGTATGGCTATCAGAATTTCTTCTGAATGTGCTTTGCATATGCTGTCTTCAATCTGTCAGATTTATTGAATATTTCTAGATAACGTTGAGTATATGGTATGAACGCAGAATAAACGTTTTATTCTTCATAACGAAAAAAGAAATATTGTATTTGTTTGGCATACTCACAGCATTCGTACAGAATTAACATATAGAAGNTTTTTGTTGCGGATTCATTTTTATGCTCTGCCACGTTTGCTTACGGTTGATTTCTGGCGAACACGTTGAATTTCATCCGATAGATTGTGCTTTGTTGAGTATTTTGTTGGTTGAGAAATGAATAAGAGTGATAGTGATGAGAAAAGGTGCGAATCGAAGGTGAGTTGGGGTGATTATTGGATTGGCTGTTTAATTGGTATGGGAAAGAGCACCATTTTACTTTTGATGTATCTTAGATGAACAGAATAGTCGATCGGGAGCACTTGATTTAGCATTTAGACGAGGAGGTCACCAGTAAATGCTTGAAGCAAAATCATCACATAGCACGTACAGATCTGAATTGTTTTGCTAGGCAGGCGATTAATTTCAGCAATCAAAAAGTGCTGAGTCGAAGAGAGGACAAGAATTTGCAAGTTTATTTGAAGTAAATTTGATAATTGATTGTTTTTTTATCAGTGATGATATTGCTCCCGTCGTAATTGCTCTTGTAAATATCGCTGACATTGTCGTTATTTTCGATTTTTTCGAACCACTCCAAAAATTGTGAAATTCTAGACGATATTTTAAGGTTCTGACGGAAGCAATTGATAGTGTGCTCGCTGAGGACGAAGAAGGAGAAGGCTTCTATCAATATCCAATGTCTTACGCTTATCATCGTGATTGATTACGAATGTGTTGTAGAAATTGAACATTATGAATGTATTATAAAAATTGAATTCAGTTAATAAATGTTCTGGGACTTGAGAACTTGTAAACAA